ATTTTCTTTTCTTTTAGGAGAAATTGTTTATGGTAAATTTTGATAAAATTTTATCCATATTTATAAAATAAACGAAAAATGCAAAATAAAAGTTTAATTTTCAAGTTCTTTGTTGTGTAAAAGAATTTTGTATTTGTACAACGATGTCTTAGGACATTCAGAAAAAATACAATTTGTATTTAAATTCTCGCCTTATTATAATATTATAATGACGATAAACCACTTTGACTAGTTATCCTAATATTATATTGTGTCATAATTCACATTTATATTAATAACAATTTAATGTCATATAATCAGGGCACACTACACAAAAAACGGCATAGTGGTACAGCACATATTAAACATTTTTGTGTAGGTTCGCGTTTGACATTGTTAAATGTTTACTGAAACTGTAATATATAGTTACAGTGTAATCGAAAATTTAAGCAATTTAAAGAAGATTAATTATAATTGTTTTTAAAGTAATATTTTTTGTTGTTGCGAAAGTGAGTTACGAATATGGTATTACAAAGTCTGAGAATCACTGATCAAAAATACAAAATTATTATTATAAGATCAAGTTTTGCCAAATCTATTCGTAGAATAGTCAAGTTGGTTTATTTTTTCTTCAATTATTCAAATTTTTAAACAACGTCAGCAACGCATTATTGTCTGAATGCATAATACTATTTTTTGTGATTTTATATAATATTTTATCGACTATTTTATGTTTAATTTTATTATTATTTCACATTAGAGTAAAATATTAATGATACTTTATATACAGCTCATATTTAAGAGCTAGGTCACTACTTTACCTTATACATAATATTTTCTACTAACTTTGCGAACCGATAACTGGACTTTAATCCTAGACCTATAGTAAAAGTACACAATTTTAACTTTTATCATTGAAATCATTTGTCCAAGTATTATTATGGTCATTTAAAAAGAAACAAATTTTTTTATGGTTTTATTAAATATTAATGAGTAATGTCATTGCGGCTTACATTAACTCAAAAACCATATTACAACAATATTACTATGACTTTATTTTTCAATTACTTAGCCTTACAAAAGGGTGAAAATCAATTAATGATCAAAGCCATTATACTTTATTATTGGAAAATATAATTTATTTTATATTGCTTTGAATTGGTTTCTTTCATCGGTGTATAATTGCACAAAAAACTTTTAATATTTAAATATATATAGTAGAATGTGAGAAATAAATTAAACGGGAAATTGGGTACAACGACGAAATTTCAAAAAAAAAAGAACATTACGATGTATATGAATTGTAGGTAATTAAAGTTCTTTTCAATAGAATCATATAATAGTTAGAGTAACGTTTAATTATACTAAATTTTATTGCATCACATTTTCTTAAAAATTTATTTTTCATTTTATTAAAACCGATTGTAGAAGTCATATGCTTAGGTAATGTAGTTTCTTGCTGTATTTTATTTCATATTGATTTTGGTAGAAAAAATATCTAGAATAATATAATTAATTTGTTTATTTTTATCGAAACTGATTAAATTAAAATGATTAACAAACCATGTTTAAAAGAATTGAATTACAAAGTAAATTCAGTTTAATTTTTTTAATTTGTTTTAAACTTTTAAAGACAGTCAATTTGATGTTTAAAATATCAGTATAATTTCTCAAATTGAGTCCACAAAAAAACTTGCAATAATCGTAATACACGTGGAGATAAAATATTAATAACTTACATAATAATCATATTATATTTTTTCAGATAAAATCAACTGTTTCCAGATAATTGTTCTCGAGATTGGAGCTCTGAGAAACATCACTAAAAGTAAAAATGGCTCATGATAAGAAAAGTTTGATAAAATGTTTTTCTGTTAATTTATCATGCCTAAAGGCTCACGACTTCAGTTAATTAGTGAATTTTTAAAGAATGAAAAATAGTTTAACTCTACAAGCTACCTTCATATCAAACTGATAAGTATTATGGAAGAAATTTAATATATAAGTATAAAATGTTTATTAGAAAAGATCTAATGAAAACTTATTTTGTATTTATACTTCAAGGAAATAAGAAAGCATTTAATATTCGTGTCAAGGTCCTTTTAAAATGTTTAAAATAAATGACAGTTTCTCCAACATATTGTTTAGAAACAACGAAACCAACACCATTTTGGACTTTTGAATTAAAATAAGCGGACCAAGTAGAAACAGAAACTATGAAATAGGGAGGAAAGCTGCAATTCCACGCCATGGTGAATATCAAAGAAAAACGGCTTGAAGTGGTCAAAGAGTGAAGTTTCCGAAAAAAAATACTTATATAAAAGGTGATAATGGTGTGGCGTTTTGCGTCACTAAATTTAATATGTTAAAAAACTATGTTTAGATTTTTTTATGTATTATATTTACTTAGTCAGTGAGCTAGTTTTTTTTTTCTTACCAGTGATTTCTGTTTTATGTGATGTATTAATTATTATTAACTAATTGACATCTTGTGTTTTAAATAATATACTAAACGTTCATTATATATGCACACATTAGGTCAGAACGCTCAAGAATATATATAATAGATCATGTATTATGTCAAATATTTTGAAAATAGCAGTTTATTAGTGAAATTGTAGTTTGTTTAACCTAGGCGTATACATTATGTTTATCAGTACCTATTCAGAAGTCACATATTTGAATGTAGGCGACGGTTACGTCATCCTAAAACGTAATTATTGTGAATCTACCGTGTATGTACAATGATACCAACACACTGCATACACATTTGGTAAAAGGTGTTTTGTGGAATTATATTTAGTTTTAGAAGTCCTAGTTGACCGTAATTAAAAAAAACTAAAAACTAGCAAATAGTTAATACTAGATACTTTTAAGTCTTAACGATGGCGGGCGTATTTCTGTAATGAGCATACAACCGGATAACCAGTTATATTATTACATTTTTATAAAAAATAGAAGCATCACACTTGTACAGTGTATACACCTCTCCAAAAAAGTAAAAAATATAAAGTATATAATACCTATTGTATGCATATATACATATTATAAATTATACATAATAAAGTGTTTATTTAGAAACGTGACGAGCATAATGGATACGTGACCGAATATATAGGACCCAAATTATAAAAAATCCATTTCTATCTTTTATCAAAAGTTTTTTGTTTAATATCGATTTCAAAATACACGTGTATTGAATATTATGTACAGCTGTATATTATGTATTAAATAGCACTTATTAGTTATTATAATATATTTTAATAGAGTTTTTTTGAAAATAACTAAAATCTGATAGAAGTAGTCAGTTAGACTGCACAAATAATAATTTTATACAATATATGTATTATGTAAATAGTAGATACCAAGCATCCATATTCCACGCATATCTGATATGCACTTAATTATTACACAAGTTATTTGCGAAGGAGACCTCCAAAATAATATTCAATTGAGTATTTCAATCACATCTTAATTTATATTAGGTAAAATAATAATATTGAAAATCCATAGTTTACAGACTAAGTTGTGTGAAAGTGTAAGTCTGAGCAACCTAACGCTAAGGTTTGGTTAACAGGAAATATTGAGATAATTCAGAAGATTCTATCTATGTAACCCCGAAGGCGATAGTCTTAACGATGTCACCTCTAAACGAAAGTCAATTTAACTCGCACTCGATAGGTGCTCAGTCTCTAACAAATATTAAAAATAGCTAATTGTTTAACATTAGTATCTATTTAATATGTGTTGTAAAATTGTATTATCTAAAATAAACGTTAATATATTTATTTTGATGTTACACTTACGTAATAAATTATTTTCGCTTTTATTTATAGTTTTATAAATTTTATTAATCGACAATATTATATGATATATGTAGCGATTTTGAATAGAGAACTGTTTTGTTTCGTTAATAGCGTTTTGCGAGATTAACATAATTTTCCACTGTGTTTAACATCGATTTCGCTACTTTTTACAGTTTTTAACAAATTAATTAGAATATACCAGTTTTATCCTAAACTAGAATAAATGATATTCTTTTGAAACGTAAATAAAATTGTATATATCGTCCAATATAATATTGAAATTATATCGATGCCATTGCCTATTACGTAGGCATAAGTGCATAACTAATAGTTAAAAAAAATATGAGCTACATTTTTGTGGGTACTTGAAAATGTATTTTTATTAAATCAGAAGTGAATGATATAGATGTTAGTCTTAGAGTTATAAGAAAGAAAAAAAAAAGTTTAAAATTATGAAGAATCCCTACAAGACTTATTAAATATTATGTATGAAAGTTTTTATTTCGCTTATAATGTGCACACTTCATCAAATATAGTAACTTCCGACCACTAATTATCATTAATATTATATATTTTAGACCAAGATTGGTAATCGAAATGAAAATTAACAATTTTAATTCCGATTTCACTTATCGATATTTGCTTTTACCAATTTAAATTTAAAATAATGTATTGGTTTTATTACTTTATGGATCGATATTGTTGCACAATATTGATTTAATAGTTATGTGATTTGTTATAAAAATCTTGACGTAATTTTTCTTTTTTTTTCGATTTAAAATATTACTTAGGTAAGCGATTTTACTTTTGATATTATCTATCTATCTACGAGAAACTTGTTGTCCTTCGTGCATTTCATATTCGTCGTTTCGCTCGGCTATGAAACGGGCCTAAGAAAACTACCTAAATATTAATTATTTCTAAATATCTACAAAATGCACGACGTTATATTCCTATTGGCTATTATTGAATTTAAAATTGTAATTATTAACTTTTTTTAGTTTTAAATTGATATGTGTATAAAAATTATAGACCGCGATAATTATCTATTTGTTATTTATTATTCTTAATAAAAAATGTTTAATATCATCAGAAAAGAAATTAACGTTTATTTGGAAATCAATTTTGATTTTTTTTTTTTTTTTTTGATGATTTCTAACGATTAATTGTCATCGATATTTAAAACCGATTACAAGCTCTGGTTTAAGCACGCACCTGCGAGTAAGGCAACAACCGGCATACGAAATCGCCGAACGGCCAGTCGGGCCGGACTCGGACGTAGGCTAGCGCCGGCGTGGTGACGGCGAACAGCAGGTCAGCTACGGTGAGGTTGAGCAGGAAGCAGTTGGTGACGGTGCGCATCTCACGGTACCTGAGCACGGCCCAGGCAATGGACACGTTGGCCACGACGGACGCGGCGAATATCACCATGAACACTATCACCTCGACCGCCGACTCGGCCTGCTCGTCGCCGAACTCCGAATAGAACGTGAAAAAGTACCTGGGACCCCATCCGCCCGTCGTGTCGTTGCCCATCAGGTACGACGTGTTGAACAGACTCATTTTGTGCGCCGAACTACGCTGGCCTCGGTGTATGTGAGTGTCGGGGGCGCCGTCGTCGTTATACCTCACACAGAGGTGCCGCTGCTGCTTTTTAGCGATAACCTGGGACGTCACCGCAGTCGCACATCTATATGCAAGAAAACGATTACAACCGTATTATTACAACGGGTGGTTACAAGTATTTCCTATAGTTTGAATTTAAACGGTTATTGGCGTTAAAAAATATAAGACATGTTAAAAAATAAAAAAAATAAAAAAATCTAAATCCATATACTTTAATTAAAATATTATAAGTACATTATACATAGTTGATTATAGTGTGTAGATAAAATTAAAATCAGCAAAATACAAGTATCGTATAATTCGGGATATAACTTTACACAGTTATAGTCTTGCAGTCTTTTTAAATAAATATTAAAAGTCAACCTGATATTTAGGCAGACGAAAAATATTTAGCGGGTAAAAAGACCGCGGGTAAGGACTGTTCTCCACATCCTCTCCACTGCGTACGCCACTGATAATATATATGCACGAGGTGATAAGATGGTGGACAGTATTTAGTATAACTTAATTATATTAATGGGTCACCTATGAATTGTGTAAATCGCATAAATGTCTCACACATATTTAAAAGCAGGCGAAATAATATGGCGGATAGTATTTCCCTGAATACATATTGGTGTATATTTTTCTTTGATTATTGAAGAGTGAAAAACAATAAAATATATCATACACGAATGAAATATGGGAAAATCAGATCCATTAGAAAACACAGTGAATTGTGATTTCACGATTGAAATTAACAAAATATTATAAATTATTATCTACCACTACAACATTATTCAAGTGTTCACAGAATTATAAAAATAATTATACATTTTTATAGATCTAATGCCGATTGTATGACTAATCATTAAACATTTAATGTACCAGTAGTGATGTAAATATTAGAAAAATCGCTTCCGCGAAGACCCGGATAAAGATGTTCTTATTAATGTCTATAATAAATTATATTGTTGCAATTCCAATGCTTTTTAAATCTTATAATTATTACAATCCGAGGTGTATGTAGAGCGTTTTTTAATGATTTTATTTTCTTTAATACTTTTAAAATAAACAAATAATAAATAAAATACATGTGAAAAAGCATTTCAGAGAAATATTGTAGGCTGTAGGGATAACCAAAAGGTAAAAACTATATTTTTATATAAATAACAATGTAAAAACAATGTAAACAATACAAGTTTGCTTCTGTTTGATATTTATATTTGTATTTTTGTTTTTTGTTTTTTGTGTTGAGTGAAATGTGATTTATTTTGCTAAGAACGCGTGCATTGAACATGGTACATATCATTTATACGATCTGTCAAACAAAAACTGAATGGTAAAGTTCTGTTAGCATAAGTTATAAAGGTATTGGAAATAATAATTAATAGTTTATATATCTGAATATGTCCGTGTTGTTTAATTATGCAATGTACACTCAATGTTGTTCTGTCATTAAGTGTAGAAAATTATTTTAAATGTATGAATGTAAAGTTAATTCGTGATTGGCTTTTACATGTGTCTTATTTGATATTATTAATCCTTTGAAATTGTAAAAGATACTCATTTTGAAACAAATTTGAGGAAAAAGGGTATATTTTTATTTTTTTATTCAAAAGAAATATTACATAAATGATAAAATTAAATTTAAATACAATTTTTTTGAAAACGAAGTTTCAAAAATTTTATAAATCCTTTTTAGAAATTTAGTTCATCAGGTAGTTAATTAAAATTTTTTAATATCTATAGGCTATTTTGAGAACTTTTTAGTAGTTTTCAAGAACATTTTCATAAACCATACAAATTAAGATCGAATGGAAAATCGGAGAATTCACATTTACTAAACTTGTGTTCCTTATTTTTAATTACTTTTTAGTCTATGAATTTATTTTTGTATATTCCACGCTATTTTAGAGCTAATAAAAAAAAAAAAACTCCTTTATTCATATTAAAAGCTCGAGTTTATCATAATAATAATAATAATAATAATAAATAATTTTGATACATTTGTTAACTATGTATAATAATTGTAATAGATACCTACTTAAAATATATAGAGTTTAAATGATTTTTAAATTAAAATGTCAAATAAGAAAAATATTTTATGTATTTTAAGCAAATATTAATGTGTTGTACGATTGATTGCTTACTTATCTAATTGTGGTTTAAGTTTCTTATTGAAAATTAAAAATTATTGATTTACAGTGAAATTTTTCACATAAATATTGATTAATAAAATGTACTTATTCATTATGTTTGATAAATTAAATGCATAGAACTACAACATATTTATACCAATATTTGGTAGTGGTTAATTAAAGTAAATAAAAAAATTAACTTAATACAAAAAAATTGATATGGTATGATAAAAATTTATAGTTATTATAATATTATAATATTTATAGTTCTTCATATTTATTTTAATGTGAAATAAATAATGGTTTATTTTTTTGACTGTATAGTGTATAATATATAAGACAAAATTGTGTCACAAAGTGTTTGCAAAGGCAAAAATCACGGTGATATTAAACTGTTAACTGTTAAAATGCAAAGTTAAGTCAAATACAAAATTAGACTCATTAATTCAGCTTTATTTAATGTATTCATTATAGATAATTAAAAACTTGAATTCTTGGAGAGAAAAAACTTATTTATAATTGATAAGTCAACAATATATTTTTACCGACAATGAATTGAAAATATTTATTTATCATTAGTTATTTTATAAATTAGGATATTAAAATTTTTTAAACAAATTGGAAATTAATTTGAAAATCTTTTAAAAAAAAGTTTAAATGTATACATTGTTTTCCAATGAACATAAATACGTAATAATACGTACAATAGGTATTTATTTAAACCATTTTTGTTTTATTGATGAATATTAAAAAGTTTAGGTTTTAAATAAATCCATCCAATAAAAAAACTGTTAAACAAAATTAAAAAAATAATTCAAGATTTGGACATAAATATTCTCATATAAGCACGTCGATTAAATACAAATGTATTAAAAAAATATATGATTTATTCATTTCCTGAAACCATTCAACAAAATGTTTATATAATATCGTATTTATTTATTTAAAACGGATCACATTTTTAATTGAATTATTAGGCTAATTAAAAAAAAATAAAAATAGTATAAAAACAGCTATCTACGACATTTCTATATCCCATAGGTTGTTATAAATACGTTAGCGTGGAAAATTAGTAATAAATGAAAATGGACTGAGAATTGTATAGTGTATGATATAATGTAGTACATTACATACCAATACTATATGCACCGACTGCCAAATAGTAATAGTCAGAATGAGTCTGCGATAAATATAATATCTTAAAATTTTACTAAAGCATCCTTACAAAGTTAAGTTATAATACTAAATCAATTAGAGCACATAACTGTATAATGTATTTTACAAGATTAATAGATGTTGCAAATCAAGAAAAATCTATTGCTTACAACTTATTCGGCATCGCTAAATAATATAATTAATTTACGTTACAGGACAATGTCATAATTAATATACGTGTTAATATAGTAAGGTACAGAGTCCAGAAATATCTCGGAAAAGGAAAGTTAGTACTCAATAAAATATTTACATAGATACATACAAATCTTTAGTATTGTTTGTCGCACATGACATAGCTATTAACGTACAACGCGTGGAATATTTTACAATTTTAACTGTTCTAAACGTGCTAACAGTTCAAATACGCATTACTATTTTTAACACGGCATTATTTTATCGCCCATACGTAATATTGGTATTGTTCATGTTTGGAAAAAATAAATAACAGAAAAAAAAATATAACAAAATAAAAATATTCTATATATTAAATTAACGAATCTCTTTAGTTTCATAAAACATACACTATGAATGCAATACTCATGAAATTTATTGAGTACCTTTGTATTATTTTAATATATTATATTATACACGGTACTAATCGGTCAATAGCACTTTGTATGTACACATAATTTGTTTTTTTTTTTTTTTACTTAAATGTTCAGTTCATAAATTTAGTGCATAAGTTTTTAATTTTGAATAAATAATAAATAGTAATAATGTAAAATTCAGTTATTTAATTCTTCATTAGTGATTGTACATAAATACAATTAAAATAGAATGTATCTATGTTTATTGCTTTTCTTATAAGTATTTTAAGTTTTGAAAAATTGTATTCTTGACTTGCGGTTTTCAGGGTGACGAAATGGTGATGAAGATGTGCATGATGTTGTGTTTCATCATAAATAATTTTTGCCGACCGCTATCTCTAAATTTATAACGATTTAAGATTTTTGTTTAATGTTTTTTCTTAATATTACGTAAACGAATATAAACTATCTAATTTAATACCAAAAATATTTTTTTATACAAAGTAGTTTGTTATGTACTTTAAAAAAATATTAAAGTATAATAATTGATAATAATAATTAATTTTTAAAATATGTTTAACAATTAATACTATATATGGTCCTTAAGGAATTAAAATGTAAATATTTTTGTTATGTTAAAAAATTAATAAATTTTAATTGGCGTAATATTTTGAATTTATTAAATAAATTGGATTTGGCTAAATAGAAATAAGCAATGGATTAAATTTTACATAAAAGCAGTTAGCACACGTATATATACTATCTATATTATTTAAGTACGAATTATAGAGGTGAATTATAGGTACCAGTTACACAGGAAATTGTATTGTACTGATTATATTCTATAAACCTTATAATTATAAACTTGAAGTAAAAAAAAATCTAGGATTAAATAATAATACATGATATATCATCCTGATTTTATAGGAATTTTAAGAAATTAATTAAGTAATAGGTAAGTAGAAATATTAAGATGGGTACTTACAAGAATATTAATTTTTATTAAAAATTTTGGATATTCGTGAAGTATTATAATACATGTTTTATGAGTAACCTTGTACTAAATATTCACGTATTAGTCATAAAAAATGAAAATGCATTAAAATAATAAATAAACTAATAAAACATAAAATATTCAAAATTTAATATAATTAAATAAGTGTTTAATGTTTTTGTAATAATATTTTAGTTATAAATAGTTCTATTTGATGAATTAATTTTTCAAAATTTTTTTTTTGTTTTTTTTTTTTTTCATGCATAATAATACTATCGTGATAATCAAAATTTAAGTGTTTAATATTTCTGTCAACCAACTCCAACTTATTCAACTAATGGATAGTGTCACATGAAACATTTGTAATATTAATTTTAGTAAATATGAGAAAGATCATAAAACTTTATAAAATTGTTTTTATAATTCCCTAAGAATCTTAAAACGATAACATATAACGATTAAAATATATTATTATATGATAAAAATAATTTTTGTTTGCATTATAATAATACTATCATAAATGTAATTTTTATCAATTCATAATATTCTCCGACTAATTAGAATATTAGCATTTATGTTATTACACATTACATGATCTTTAGCAAACAAGAATCACATTTTAAGTAATTTTAAATAGTGTAATTATTCAGTATAATTATTAATTTTAATATAATAAAATTCAAAAAGTTGAGAATTGAATTTTTAGATTATGCCTTCTCTCTTTTTCTATGTATATATATATATATTCATTATACTGTCATTTGATTGAAGTATATATCGACAGACTACATTATAAAAATATAAACCAAGTCAACTTAAAGCAGTAAAATAAATCATGTGTGAAATAAAAACTCGATAAATTTGCTACAAAATAAGCTTGTCAGTTGAAGAATTCGTGTTAATAACTTAATTCTAGTGACAGTTATTTATTGCGTTTTAGTATTTAACTCGTGTTTAATGTTTCTATAGCATGTTTAAGAAACTAATACGAAAAAAACAAAATATTAAATAACCTTTTCCATTGTGAATAACTATTATTATTTTAAAATCTCGTTCAAGAGTTAATTAATATTTTTATTGATTTATATGAAATTTGTATATATTTAAACAGAAACTGTTGTTAGATAAGCATAATATGCTATATTATACAATAGTTTTTTGATGCTTATTTCTGCAAAAATTATTATAATATTTCAGTTGAAACAAAAACAATGATATCGATAATATTAATTAACGAGCGTATAAAAATCTAATGAAGCAACATAGAATTATAAAATTACATAAGATGAAACAGCAGTAAAAAACTCTATGTTCTACTTACGTATTGTATAGTAAAAGCTAAACACTTTTCTCTGTATTTCATTCATTTTGATTACATATTATTGAAATTAAGGTACAATTAATTTATTAAAACTATTATTTAGTATTTTAATATTTTTATTATTAGTATTTTGTTGGAATTTATTTAGTTACTTATTTTAAATAATAAATAATTTTCTTAAAAATAAAAATATTGAAAAAAATAGTCAAAACATTATGATATTTTTATAATTGTTAGGATAGGTTATAATATATTCTTATTTTCAATAATGTAACCACAACGAGTGAAATAAAAAGATATATCTTAATTATATTAATGTAGTTGGTAAGATTAAGAAAAAAATATACTAGTATTATTCGCTTCTAAAATATATATGCAATATTCTAATCATTATTTTAATTACTAAGAAAAGATTAACTCTGTAACTAGGGAGTTCAAATAAAGATGTGTGTGTGTGTGTGTGTTTTTTGACAGATTATTGAAGTGTGTTTAGTACTTTAATATGAAACATAAATAACACTCTATTAATTTGTTGTAAATATTTTGAAATGTGAAACTATAATATTTGTCTAGCAAATTTAAGTCAATAAATAGAAAATAAAATATAAATTAACAAATATGAATAAAATATAAAATATAAATTAACAAATATGAATAAAAATACAAGCATAGTATAACATAATACTATTACCTAGATACTTCAAGTAATTTATAATGAGTCATAAGGATTTATAATGAACTACAAATCGTTTTGTTTCAGTTATATATAGCAATATAATTTAGGTGTACGGTAAATAGTATTTGAATATATATACTTTCTAATGGAATAATTCTATCGGAATACTTGCTTAAGATCAATGTATATTATGTATTTATTAAAAATACAAAATATGTGTTATAAATATCACACGCAAAATTTGTTTATTGATTGTTTTTATAGAATGATTTAAAAAACTAATTATATTATAAACTATATGATAAAACCAGGAAGTCTCTGTGATCTTATACACTTTGAGTTTACCTTAGCATTGCATAAGTCACAGTAATGGATATGTTAAATTTAAATTCAAAGATAACTTATTTTAGACAAAAAACAATTTTGAGCAAAGAAGTTAAGTAAATCAGCATCTATTTCTAATCATATTTTTCAATTTATTCGTATTTCTACGTATAAGTTATTTTTGTTAGTTATATCATATTATTTATGCTATATATTGAACTCATTTTTTCCAAAAATATTGCATAATATATCATTATTATTAACTTATAAAATTACAAGTTAATATTGCCTACGTAATTACGGTAGAATAATGGGAATAATTCATGGTATAAATAATTTAAAATTAGTTCTATCTAAAATATTATAAGGAATATACATAATTATCAATGCTTTACTTGCTATTGTTTTTTATTAGGATAATCAATGATTACAACTTTCAATAGATTTTTTAGTTTATGGATTCTACAATTTACAACATAATTTATTCTAATAACCAATTATATTTTGAATTCTATGATATATTAATTTTTAAATTGACAATGAAATATTGTTGTAGTAGACAAAGCTTATTATTGTTTTATGTCTATAATAATATTACAGCTGTAAAATATTATAATTGGGTTAAGACTGCGTCTGTTCGATCTTTATAGTTATTAGACGAAGGATAACAAAAAAACATATTAAAGATACTGCAAGAGCTTCTGATAATAATATGTACAGATAGTATGAACATGCATTTATTGGAAACTGTTAAAGTCTAAACTAAAAACGTTCATTTGTTTGTTAACATATTATTTACTATGAATTTACGTTCAATACGTCACTTTAATAATGCAGAGAACGACTTTAGTGAAATGAAAACATATTGCTTATAATATTATGTACATTTAAATCTGCATCTGTTTTTTTTAAAATAAATAATTATATTAATTTCATACAGTGTCGAGTAATGTTCTTATCATATACATTTTATATACGTTTATATAGAAAAAAAAAAAAATTGGAACTGAAAACACACATGAACTCGAGAATAGTAATCCCCAGAGTTTTCTATTACGTTCAATTTTAACGATCCTTTGCAAATATTTGTTTATATACGTTCGGTACAGGTTATTTATGCGGATGTACCATAAGGTTTTGATCTCGAACTCGATTGAATTGCATGTTATATATGATGTAATCAAATATGCGTTCTGTAAATACCCATATAGTCACACGATTATATATGAGCTAATCATATTATTTTTGTATACCTGCAGCTATACAACTTATATAATACAGCGAAATCCTTCATAATAGACGCTTCAAAATATTACGATTCTCTTAATAAAAGTTAAAATTTTTGCAAGAATATCCGTTAGAAATTATCCATTATGGCTATATTTTGTTTGGGAGACGAGGGTAAAAAATTAATCATCGAAACCTTAACCTCTTCTCGGACTAACCAAAATAGGTATCTAAAATATTTTTTAATATTTATAGCTGAAATAAGATTATTTTAACAGTGAATTAGTACCTATATCATGAATAATTTTACTATATGTATGTATCTATACATTAATATTACATTATCAATATTAAAATCAATGTCAGGGGGTGAAGATATGCATTGTTTATCACCCCCGAATACATTAATCATTATGATTTACTCACAAAATTTCGCATGCCAACCTAACCAAAACGAGCACAGAGAAGGAAAATAAAACAGTGACGGCGGCGGACAAATCGTTCACATTTCGTCGTTGATCGAACGCTCAATCGTGTACGATAAATTATTGTAAATATCGCGCAATAATCTAATTCATTAATTGTTTTTTTTTATTTCGTACGCGGCAAATTTCACGATTACGGACAGTCCGGACGAGCAACACGCGCAACGACATGCACAACCGACAAGCGTGTGGACGTAACTCTGGCAGCTCATCCGCGTGTGACTCGCCGGCAATGTTTGCGGATTAACGCCACTGTAGCCCCACTCCTATCGCCTAGACGTCACGTGCGCGCGCTATGCGGTAATACGCTTAAACGATATTGTATCTCCGTAATCGAACGAACCGATCACCGTAAAATAATATTTAAATTACCGAAATTACTTCAAACCTATAATTACGTTTTTATTGGGTGGGAGTCAATATTGAAGACTGAAATAATTTACGGTCGTTGTCGAGTGAAATATTACGTTGTCCCTATAAAAAGGAAAATCGTACTTCACAGTTTACTTATTTATTAGTAAAGCTTATTATAATGTATGAGGTGTTAATTATAAACAATTTTTTAAAAAACTAATCACATTTATATGAGCTACACATTTTTTTTTCAATTTCGTATTCTACACGTTTAAATGTCTGTATCTAAAATAAGGGATGATATTATAGACCCGTAAAATACTGATTATGACCGAACCGAATTTATCAAATATTTTACCATTTTTACATACGTCCACGATTGTTATTCCACTATTAGTGCTATATGGTCGAAATATTTGTAAAAATGACACTAAAAAAGTGTGTTATAAATTACAGGCAGGTGCACTCTGAGGCTAGAATCGGATACATTTGTCAACTCTGTTACCGGCTATCATGTTTACGACTTGGCTGTATTTGAAAAGTTAAAAATTACTACCGATATTATAAGCGATGTATGCATGTCAAGTTTCTATGTCGTGATTTATGAGTCTAAAATATGTCGTATCGACATATTATCGAATTCAACATGTGTTTAAAGTGTAAACACTTACATAATAGAAACTAAAGTATGTTATGCACTAAACAAACTTATAAACTACACGCCGCAATTACGAGTTTTGAAATTTTTAATTTTTATAAATAAATAATATTAATTTTTCAATTGCCTACATAATACCTATAATATTTGTTTTGGTTTATAGAATTCAAATTATTGTATTGGTATTGGTTAAAACTTAAAAAACTGTAACGGGCTTAGATGTAATATTATATTGTATATACGAATATATGTACATGTAGAAAATAACCAAGAAAATAATAGATGATTTTAAAAGCTCTAAATTATGTGTGATGGAAAAAAGCAATTTACAATTGCAACTTTTAAAGAAAACTTTTGCATAATATATTAGGAGTTGAGAAGTTATTGGTTAAGCCCTTTAATTATCTTCTTATCTTATTTTGCCTCTGTGATTAGTGTAATATTATAATAGATAATATTATCTATATATTTTTTACCCACAGAACGATAATACGTTTTTGAAAATGTTATCTTTATATTACAAATAAAATCAACGGATAAAAATGATATTCGTGACAGTGATGAAGATCTAGTGTAGAATTATTTTTAGGAAATACGTACTATATGATACATTTGTAGAAGAATATGTCAAGTGCAATTTAATTAATTTTTTTTTAAACTGTTCAAAAATTATCTTTTATTAAATTTTATAAATGTCTCACTCATTCTCTACTGTTTATAACATTTTCAATGTTGTCATTGTTATTGTCGAAATATTACGATATTGTTGTAATTTTTAGCTTACAAATCTATTTATATTAAGAAGACTAGTTAAGTTTTAGCGGAGTTATAATTTTAAAGTATATATTAATAATTTGTTGTTACTCAATTGTATTAAAAATATATACTCTGCAAGCTGACACCCATGCATATTGTATAAGTTAAGTGTACAGTACACTACACAGTCTTGATTATAAGTTCATTTAAAGAACACAAATTACAGTTTAAACACTTCATGTTGATACATATTATTATATAATGAATACACACGAATCGCATTATGAATTGAGTTTATCAAAGAAAATTATAGTGTAATAAGTAATTAAATTCAATAAATTTACTTAACATTCACACATGAATACTCAAATTCACTAAAACTGCCACAGCTAAGTGAATATAAGTAATATAAATAATTTGTATTTTATTTAACTGAATTGAAAGCCGGTACTATAAATACTGCTGCTATAGTTTTCACTGTAAAGTTTATACGTTTTTAATTTAAGTCGTACGCCTATGCAAATTGGTAATATTATTCTTAGGCGTATCGCACCAGTAGAAGTTTTATAAACAATAATGATATTCTTGTCTTCAGTGTGCAGTGGAACAATACAATAAGTATAAAAATATATTAGAAACAGTTTATGCATTATATTATATAGATGTGAGAATGAGAAAATAATATATTCAATATTCACATCCCGCTTGTTTGAACGCGCAAGAAAGTAAATGGTTTTTTTGCTACCCTGTGAATATTATTAGAACACGGATAAAGTTATGTAAGTTATTCTTCTAGTAAATATAATTTACAGAATGAGATGTTATGCGAAAAAAGCTGTAAAGAAGAAATTAAGAACAAATAGCCCGTGATAGGTAAGTAAATTTAATATAATATATAATATACTTACGCAATCAATTTAATATTTATCCAATATATAAAATTGTTCAAATTAAAATACAGATTTTCAAAGACAAAATAAAATTACGAAAATAATTAAAAATAAATAATTCCGTAGTTTTATATTTTACAATCTATTTTAAAGTTAGTTTTAGAAAGTTATGGATTTCTCATAAACAATAAGTGTTGTCTATTTACAAGGTTAAGTAGATACAGTATAAGATTTAACGTTTAAAGTTGTATATATATGTTTGTATTACAATAAAAATCAAAGCAAAGTTAAATCAAGATGAAAAATACAATTATTTTAAATAACCGTCTGTACACTATAATATAACCTTATTAATTTATAATTTTTCCCATTATTGTAACTAATGGTGATTGGTGGAAAATGCACTTTCTCGCAAGACTCATGAATCACGTTATTTTGTTTTCTCGTTTTTAGTATTCTATTATTGTACTGATATTGGACTGCATTAACAATAACAAAAAAATTAAATGAATCAATATTATACTGAGCTATAAAATGGCTATAAATGGTTTCTTGAATATGATTTTATGATTGGTCCATTACATTCAATTCAATAATTGAATGAATTCATTTTTTATTCAACTCAAAATTAATATGGTATAAATAGTATAAGACTGTACTATCGTATATACTATTTAAAATTAATTGTATATAGTCTATATAGATAATTATTTATATATGCTGCTAAAAAAGAAATTAATAATTTATTTATAAAAAGCAAACTTTGTTCAAATACTGGACATTGCAGATATTCTAAGCTTATGATAATTATATATAATTAATATTAAAATATTATCAAAAATAATTTAGTTGGATGATATTTGAAGAAAATTAAATCTATTATTATAACTTATAAGTAACAACTTACAAATTATAAGTTTTCATGTACGTTAGATTATACTATATTTATTTTTAACTGGTTTTAGTGGCTTAGAGCCAAAATATCATACAGACTTATTACGGCCACAATAATTCACTGTTTCCAGAAGTGATAAACCGTCCCAGGTCACTATAATAAATGCTCCAGTTAAATGCACTTTTTATTTATAAATACAGCCAATTGGCTATACTACAACAGAGTAAAAATAGTATTTGAATACTTTATAGAAATCAAAACACAATAAATGAAAATGTGTACGCACATTAATTACTAGCCAATGAGTACTATAAAAAGTATATAAAAAAGTGTATAGTATTTTATGATACCCAAATCTCATTAAAGTCTGTAGAAAGTATAGACTATAAGCAAAAACATTATGTTCCGTTTAATCAAAATATAATTAATATAGCTTTCTGAAAAAAAAAACATGTTAAAGACTTTGTGAATATTGTCAAATTTCTCACAAAATCTATTTTAGATTCTGAGCAAATCGAAGATGTATTGGTTTTAAAATGAAGTTTTGTTTGTTTTGTATCAAATAAATATGTTTTGTCTATCGTCATGGTATATTTTATATAAATATTTTGGCTCTTTTATTGCTATATTTATAAATATTTTAAATTGTAGATTTAATTATATATATATATATATGTATTTTTTTTGGTTTTATGTTTCAACCAATTTTTCTCAGTCAAAAGCCTTAAAGGCTTAAAATATAATTCAAGGTTTCTCAAAAGATGATCCTATTAGCTTAAACATTTTAAAATCACAAACATTTTCAAATTCAGTTATAGCTAAAAAATCAAATAATTGTTAATTTTTAAACATGAAACATAGGTAGATACAAGATTATTCATGAAATATTTCTATGGAAATTGAAAATAATTGGAAATACATACGATAGCTATTATGTTTAATTATGTCTATACACACTTGAAGTCAAAATTTTATCAAAATTGGATATTTAAAAATAACGATTTTTTCCCGAATATCTCTAATATTTTGATATAATTCAAAAAAATACTAATTTCAGTAAGGAATCACGTATGCAGTAAACCATAAAATTTATAATATTCATATTATATTATTATATTTTATATAAGTACAATTGTGTGTTCATATATAGTGAAAATTGTTTTTATTTATAATTATTGTGATTTGTGTTATAAATGTATAGGTATGTGAGATGATGTCTTTCTGTTTTGTTACATGAAAGAAACAATCAGATCTTAAATAAAGTTATTTTTTAATGAAAGTGATTTATATTCATCGTGACCATCAATGAGTTTTGACTCACACATGCTATAAAACAATAACTTAGACCTGAAGAATGACCTGTGGCTGTTGATCGACGATATTGAATTTCGTATGGATCGTATTTTACTAATGCTATGAATTATGATACTTTTATTTCACAGTTACACGTGTAGCTATTACATACATATTCACTAATAAGTGATCGCGACAGCAAGTAGCGTTTCTCGTTGCTTGCACGTTGATATGTATATTGTATGTAATGGCGATATAATTATGTGATCATTATTCATTAAAACGACTTAAAGATTGACTCACTTAACTGTGTAGCGTATAATTTATTAAACAAAGAATTCCTATATTATGTA